GGGGGGGGCAAATTTGTTGTGGTTTATAATGGCAAATGATACTTTGAATATTACATGTTGATAACTTGATTGGAATTATAACCCTAAGTTGGCAGTTTGATACGTGAAAATTTTGAGCCATCCCTACCCCCAAGGGCTGTAGGGTGGGGCCCAATGGAGTCGGTGTGCTAAAATTTCTTCATTTTCCTTGTTTAGAATCAGAGGTGCTATCTGCATGCTAGATATTGAATAAGGTGGTTTTATTGTTTTTTGTCACTTTGAATAATACTTCTGTTCATGTTAAAAACAAAAATCAACTCTCTGTATAAATATATCAGGTGACCGTTAAGGCCCATGGGCCTCTCGTATTTTTGTATATTAGCTGGGTATAGACATAACCACAGTTACCTATATGTATGTAATACTATTATTGGATATCATTTTAAAATCCTATGATATAGTACTATTTGTACAATTTGTGGTGTTTATAATGTATTGCTATAGACAAACAGTATACAAATCTCTTCTTTTAACTATTACACAAAGTTTACTTTTATACTAGTTCTAATCAATTTGCAAATGAAAAATTAGTATGGTTATGCAATAAACTACATCTTAAAAAGGAAATACAAATATACCTAATTTTTTCACATGTTGTGCCTGTACATTTCCTCTGAAATCTTAAAGTATTTTTAAATGTTCATATCATGTGATGAAGTAGTTTGGCAGCGTCTGATGTTTTCAGTGCATTTGATAGGGGGATGTGTATGGACAAGTGTGGAAGGTTAACTTCCTCTGTTGAAAAGGAAAGAGTACATACACATCTGCCTGACAAATGAAGTGCCTGCTAAATGCTCCAGTCACAGATCAGTGATATTTGGTTTGGTGTCTTGGTTTCTCTGTTGAATTTTATTTGTTTCTATTCATTTGATCAATTCCACTAGCACAGCTTCCCACTTTGTTGCTTCCAGATGCTGTTTCTTCAAAAGGCGCAAGAAAAAGAAGACGCGTCGATCATAGACTTGATGCATAACGTACCAAAAACAACCCACTTATTTACACATACATACAGGCCTAAGGAAGTCACTCTCACTCTTCAAGTTGAGCCTTCCTTAACTTTTACGTATGCAACCAAAACAAGTTTCTTTTCGCATTTGGAACATTTTCGCTACGCTGAAACTCGACGTAGGGACATGACTAAACTATAATTCAAGCCATGCTAACGGTTTCGAGTTTGTGTTTTTATCCAAAACGTTTACAATTCACACCACAGCTGGTTAGAGTTGGACAAAGATAGGCCTCAAGTTTTCGCTACAGTAATGGGAGGAAAAAAATGGCTGCAATCTCCTGCTTTTCTGTCACAGATGTTGCTGTTTCACCCGCTCGAAAAAACGTCGGAAAGAAAAAAGGCGGAAATGACATGCGGCCCAGGACCATGACCTTGATACAGTGCCATTGAGTTTCCCTCAGGAAGATGACATTGCGACGTTTGACCTAGGTCCGTCAGTGCGATCAGTCACACCGCGAGTACAGCTAGCATACCTAAATCAGTCTTTCTTGAACGTTGATAATCAGTTTTAAAGCCTGTCTTCAGCTCTACTTCATGTAATTTGTTATGTGAATGGTTTTAATTAATGTGTATATGTGATTAGGTTTTAAACTGATAAGTTAGTAAAAAAAAAAACAATGAAGAAATTTCAAATGTGCATGACAATTTAGATGTAGTCATAGCTCTCTGTAGGAGTTCTTCAATATCTGTAGTTGCCAATTATGACATTTCTTCTTTTCCAATTTTAGTCTCTTTTAAAATTATAAGTTCATCCACTTATTACATGGGCACATATGCTTAGTTGATAGTGTGAGAACCTTGTGTTGCTGAATAATTGAAAGTTGGTATTTAAGAAGATCTATCTGGTGTCAGCTTGGTCTGCCATAGTCCTGGTATAAACATTCAACCTAGAAATCTTTTAAAAGCAGCACTGAAAGATTAAGGGGTATATTTTGTACACAAATCTGCTACTGTTGTATAGATCTGGTAGCCTTTCGTGATTTTCGACACTTAGATCACATACTGCCATTCATTGTTTAGAAGCCGTTAGAAGCCAGCCACAAGTAGACTTAGTAGTGATAAATCACTATTTATAGTCCTCTTTATTTGTGTTCGTGACTAGATGTTCAGTGTGATCGGTGGCTGGGGTTCAAGTCCTCTGTCGGTGTCAGTAAAAATAAGTTCACAACAAAGAGCTAGGCATTAACAATTTTTGACTTTCTATTTTTGTAAACACAAAATACACCCCTTAATTGAATCTTTGCTTAGCATAGAAAAGTACAAATTATTCTTAAGAGGCAATGTAAGGATAAATAATTAATTCCTGTCATTCCCGACTTTTCATTCACAATTTTAATTCTCTTTGCTTTAGACTTTTTTGACGAGTGGTGTTTCGGGCGAGTGTTTGGAGGATATTATGTATACATTGGACCAAGATATAGTCGAGGTTTGATGGTCTAAGACATGTGTGAATGGTTATCTCATACCCACCTGGGGCTAAACGTTCCATTGGTTCAGGTGGTTTAGAATGGGGTAAACATTACACCAGATAGTGAAACCGACATTTCAGGGATTCGGTTCCATGGCTTGTGTAGTTTGGTTCAAAATGAGGTAGAAAAAGAGGCCACCTGTTTTGTTTGTCTAAATCAGAAAATAATTGCGACTTTGTTTATTGAATAGATATAGGTGTTATTCGTTGTTTTGTTATCTTTCATTATCAAAAGATAGATTTTTAACAGTTTTATGATTTAGCCAAAAGTTTAAACTTCAGGGCGATGACTGATGGTGTGATTATATATTGTACGTCAAAGTCAGGTATTATCGCAGATTTTCATTTGTTCAGAATGGGCTGCTCCTATCAGCAGATTTCATAGTGTGTATAGAGAGAAAGTGGTATGTATTTGTATGTAAGGCAGTGGATGGTAAGAGTGTTAAAACATTAATGATGAAAATCTACTGAAATATTTGACTTTGACTGTTAAGTACTGAGAACCGTTTTTTGCGGTAGCCGAGTATTACAGCTAAGAACTGCTCTGGGACAGAGGTTACACGCATCTGTGTTAGTTAATGACATGTAGAGATAGGGATTGGTTAAGTGCTATTTACATAATACAAAGCAGAACTGGTCGTAGGACATGGTCCTGGGTACATGCACTAGCATGTACATTACACATACAACTTGTACAATGTAGATATAATCATAAAACTCAAGCAGGCATTCCATATCCCATCATTTGTACAAATTGAGTATCATGATGATGCCTTGACAACTGCAAAAAACATTTGTACCGATTTTGAATCAATTGTATATGATCTTGTATGTTTTGTTGCCATTTTCACCAGATACATGTTGTTAGTATATCAGTTATCTCCCCTTTGTCTGAGTCTAGTGTATCGGTTATCTCCCCTTCGATTGGGTCTAGTGTATCGGTCATCTCCCCAGTGTATCGGTTATCTCCCCTTTGTCTGGGTCTGGTATATCGGTTATCTCCCCTTTGTCAGGGTCTAGTGTATCGGTTATCTCCCCTTTGTCTGGGTCTAGTGTATCGGTTATCTCCCCTTTGTCTGGGTCTAGTATATCGGTTATCTCCCCTTTGTCTGGGTCAAGTATATCGGTTATCTCCCCTTTGTCTGGGTCAAGTGTATCAGTTATCTCCCCTTTGATTGGGTCAGCAGTTTTCCTAGTGTAGGGATTGTGTAATATGAAGGCCACTCATGTTATGAAAGGCTTTCAAATACAGAAATTTTGCCAAGAAATTTCCATAAAAAATCCTCTAGAAATTGTGATACCTTTGACCAAACATGTGATCAGGATTTTGTCCCTTATAAACCCCCAAATCACCCACTAAATAGCCAGTCATACATCTTGTACAAATATGCATTATTTGACCTACATGCCATGTTGACATTTTATATCCCATTACTGGAGTCATCGTAAATTTCCTTTTTCAATCATTGTATCTTTATCCCTTATACTTGAGCCCCATTTATCATCATTGTTTATCAGGAACATTGTAGTTGAATGCTTGTTGGGGTGTGCGAGAGAATCATTGATGCATAACAGGTCATAATTATAAGAAATATATTTCCATGCAGATTTACATGGTTGATACTGGTGAAAGTGGCATCAATGATATGGTCTAATATGGCTGTGGCCCTGTAGAGACTACAGAAGGCCCAGGTCATTGGTGGTGTGGTCTAATATAGCTGTGATGCCATACAAACTACAGCAGACTGGATCATTTGTTAGGTCTTGCTTGTTCAGGTTACAGTATATATTTGATTGGTTCCAGATGTACATCATTAAATGCAGCGTGTTGCTGTATTTTTACGTTGTTTTTATTTGGTAATGTATGTCACAAGTGAGGATTCCTTGTATACTGTACATAATATATATACTCACGTTTATATAGACGTACATCAAATCCAGGAAATTATAGAGTGTGAAAAGGAGAGAAAAAAAATCCTAGAAAAAAATCACAAAATTTCCACAATGTTATGTTGGAGGGAACTGTATCATGACGAAACGTCTCATCGAAACATCGGAACTGGAATGAGGCTACGATTGTGTGTACTTGCCATGAAATGTGTTTTTTGGATGACAGTCTCAGTGTGTTTCTTTGATCTAACTTTGTGCATGTTGCTTGACTGATCTGACAAGAAGCTAGTCTGCAGCCAGGTGGTTTATAAGTGAACACTTTCTGGTGTCCTAGGGCTGCATCAGGTTTTATCCAATACTTCTACGAAGAAAGATCATTTTATTAACCTACTGCAAACAGATCATCAAACTGTAAAGAAATGTTGGATGGAACAAGGAAACTATAGTTTTACCTGTCTCGGACAGGATGACAGGATGACACAGAGACAGAAAATTTTACTAGCAGTTATTGATGCAAAACAACGATGGTGGTTACTGTTTTCATTACATGTGCCAATGAAAAGTTGTGAGTAAAAACTATTAGGTGCAAGTTTATCTTTCTGTGATCAATCTATGCATTTTGAAAATGCCAATACTGATAGGTCACTTAAGATTGAAAATGTAGTTCAGAGTTTCTATAGGATGTTTAAATGGTGTACATAATAGTGAAAAATCCCATTTTAGCTACTGTCAACCCGTTATTTTCTTAATTGATAATAAAGTGATAATTTGTCTGTGTAGCTTGATGTAAAACAAATTTTGAGTTGCTCTGTATTTCCTGAATTATGTTGACATGTTTAAGAAGGTGGTCATACAAAATGGCAGTAGTGATGTATTTACGCTGTAAATATTCTCTTCTAACTTTTCATTTTTTTCCACATTTTTGCTCAAATTGAAATTGCTATTAATACATTAAAGCTGTTTATTTTCACATCTTCTGAATGAAATGCTGTATAATTCGCTCAAATTAACTGGATGTAGATATAATGCTTGGTTTGACAATACCAGGTTTAAAAACCTATAGAATTGACCAATTCAAAATTACCACATAAACATAATAACATATCTTGGTCAACAACAGCATGGATGAATAATGACTTTATTTGTGGAATTTTCTTCTATTGTTTTTTTCCATTCATTCTGTTATTCATAGATTCTTTTGTCATCGCCATGTATTTTTTACTTTAAAAAATGTATTGAGTAGACTGGTCAATTCATTCCATCAAATATGTCTTGCATTTATTTTGCATTACAGATATGACATAAAACATAATGTGACAGAAAACTCCTTTCTAAAACAATTTCCAACCTGATGTATTTTTATGAATGTTAGTGTGAAATTGATTAATTAATTGATGATTATTTGAAAGATAGACAAGAATGCATGTATTGATAAGTCTCGGGTTAATCACACAACTTACCATAATTTACCGAGGATGACTTGAACACAAGTAAAAATAATATGTAAGATAGCATAATTATATCACCAAAACCTTTTCCGCATTATATTATTACACAGGAAAGATCTCAATCATTTTTGAAATAAATAATTTTGACAAAAAAGCAAGCAATATATGAAATATAATCAGTTTTGTACACATTTGTAAGATGTAACTCAGCACAGGGGGAGAAACTCTCGCTCTGCATTGACAAGGTTTTAGAAAGTGGCCGATTTTGTTCACAGAAATCCAATTTTTGTTTCTTCAGGTATTTTCATATAGAGTATGTATTATGTTGCTGAAACATTTCTTGCTTTTGAGTCGATCATAGCCCTGCTTCTTTTGAAAATGCTTTCACCTTTGTGTTACCATCAGGTTCAAGCTTTGGAACCCCCTCCCCTTTTCTTTCTCCCATTGGCTCACAATTGTGCAAGTATTAATTAATGTACAAGTCTGTCGTAAATTTGGGTACAGGGCTTTAGTGGGATATCAGCACTTTCACCATTAAATTCACATACTTATTGGTAGCGTGGCTGACATCAACAAATGAAAAACACCTTATAAGGCAGATTATTGGCTCTCAACTGTTAAACCCTGCTACTGCCATCTGGCATTGTCCATCATGTATAAAACTTTTCAAGTGTATATGTAAACACTCTGTCAATATTTCTTCTGCAGATGTGAAGGTAAAATTTGACAACAGATCTTGAAATATTGTGTTGTATTTCGTCCTAGAATTGATTATTTATTGTTTGTAAACAAGTGGTAATTAAAAAAAAAAATAAAGAATTATTTTGCAACTATTGAAAGTCTGTGAATATCTTCAGCTATGGGAACAAGGTTTGCATGTATGCTGCTACAACTGATTATTGTTATCATGATTTAAGTATGACTGTTGTGTGTGGATGCGAGAGAAGCCAACCGTTGTTGATTATCTTGATGGAACTTTAAGATTGTCGAAATCAGAGTCATGTGTAAGATTTGTTATTTAATTCATTTTCATGTACAGTCATATTTTTTGCCTCGATTATTTGTGCTAAGGGAAAAAAAACGATGAAAAATACTTGTAGGTCATTCTGTTCCTTATTGAGAGAACTGCTGTGGTCTTCTTGAGGAATAAAATATCTTTTAATATCTACTCCTGTTTTGTTACTTTATCCTGGGTTTCATTTCAATTCTGTTGAAACTAGTTATTGTGATCTAGGGAGAGCTTAGAAGATTGCTAGAGGCAAAGACGTTGCATTTGCATATCCTGGTTGAAACAGTTCAGGTGGCACAGAAATATTCCACGATAAACGAACGCACTTGGACATAACTGTACTTGACTCAACGTGAATTAAGGGATTGTTACATAGCACCACTACAGAATGACAAAACCAGAATTCCTGATTTGAACAGAAACAGCAGGTAAATGTATCATGAATTCTTATGTTAAAGTGGTGTAAGCTTGTGCTCCTTTTTGAGAAGACCAAATTGATTGTTTGCACAATTCTATGAGAATCATATTGAGCTCATATTACTCTTTAAATCAAGAGAATGCAACATTTAGGAAAAGAATTAACTAAAAGATCTGCAAAACTTTTTATTAAAAATAAAACAAAAGGTCAATAAAAAACAGCTTCTTACAAATTTAACAAATATAAAAAGATAACTTCAACTCGCATACAGTTCACATTTATCCTTCAGTTTGACTGAAAACCCTTGGAGGTCTCCCACTGAAAACATGATGACAGGTATAGAAATGCTATCATAAATAAACTATGTTTGTTGCAGTTTTATCTTGCTGTCATGGAAACGTATCTATCACATATTTTTAACTTGCTGTCGTAGGTGGCCAGCACTACACATTGTGTATGCTGAACAATCCGCTCAAATGTCGCTCTCCATAGGTCATTCTGCAGACGCTCGATGTGTCTGAAAATATACAGAAAAGAGAAATTGACTTAAAGATGTCGCCATAAAATATTGGGAAGAAACTAGAGTGAGTTAGCTACAGTTACTGGTCCATCAAAACAGTGACACAATTAAGGGTTAGGATTAAAGATGTCACCATGAAATATTGGGAAGAACTAGATTGAGTTAGCTACAGTTACTGGTCCATCAAAACAGTGAAACAATTAAGGGTTAGGGTTAAAGATGTCGCCATAAAATATTGGGATGAACTAGAATGAGTTAGCTACAGTTACTGGCCCATCAAAACAGTGACACAATTAAGGGTTAGGGTTAAAGATGTCGCCATGAAATATTGGGAAGAAACCAGAATGAGTTAGCTACAGTTAATGGTTAATCAAAAATTAACATCCTTTAAAAGAGGTTCTATAGTGCGAGGGGACTCATAAAAGTTATTGATTCGACAGATAAGTGTACCTCAAGTAAACAATTTCATTTTTCCTAGTGGCACAATTTAATCACCAGTGAAAGTTATCTCATCTCTTCGTTGAATGTCTGGTATGACTTATTACACAGACCAATCAAATTTAATATTATTGGATTATAAACCTATCGTATCTCAGGAGACAAGCTGTGACAACAAATTAAAAATATACATAGGAACACGAGGGCAATACATAATTATCACACACTCTTCCCAACTGAAACTCAATGTGCAAAATATATATACAAAAATACTCTACAGATATATCTGTGAGACTGCTTTTCATTACCTGTTGTATTTATTGTGAATATTGTTACTTTGTAAGCCTATGTATCACTACATTATTGAAAACGTAAATGGAAAGCTAAACTAGCAAACATTGATGACATCTGGGTAAGCACGACCTACCCTACACAAAGTGTTAATTGGTTTGGGTGAAACCGAAGCATTTTATATGGATACCCTAATTAGGTGTTCGTAGCAGAAAAGGTCTGTTTTCATTTATTGTATTCCAAACAGTAGGACTGGTTCTTTCAACAGATCGGGTGGAAACCACTTACTTGCGTATAATACGCACACTCGCCTATTATACGCCTCTTGGGGTATGGATTTGTTACTAAAAATAGCCAAAATCACTTTAATCTTAACCTTTTCAAATTGTTTGTCCAAGTCGCATTTATTCAGTCATGAAACATGATACAAATGCAAAAATAAACTTTATTTGCATGTGGGAAAGTACCAAAAATAGATGCAATACTTCCGGTAAAGTTACATCAAGTTTCTAAGTAGCCAACGCTTTCAGTAAACATCTTTTAGCAAAATATATTTACCATATCGTAAATTAATGCGATTTTTAATAATATCTTGCAAAAGTTACTGTTAAAGCGATTTGGGTTATTTTTAGTAACAAATCCATACTCCAACTGGCGTTTAATAGGCGAGTTTGCGTATTATACGCAAGTTGGTGGTTTTCCCCAACCTGTTCAGGCCTATGTTAACATTTACAGGTCGGCCAGGAATTATCCCCACAGTCAGTTTCAATTAATTTGTTAATAAGATCAGTTATTAAATTATTAAATGGTGGTGAATGAAGCTTACAATTTGAACATGTATACAACTCATGGACCTATTACCCAATACAGTTTTTACCTATTGAGGAACTTGATGACCAGGTCGACTTGTTCCAGGTTCCTGTCTACGACCAGGTCCTGTAGGTAAGTAAGCATCACCTCCTCGTCCTCATCCTCTGGCACTGTAACACGACAGGGAGACAACTCTGTTTACGTGAGGAATAAGTTACAGGATAAAATATTAAAATATGCTGAAGAGATCACTTGTCAACAATATAACAGAAAAGAAAATTAAAGCAATTTATATAGAATGTACAATGTGCAATGAAGAAATACTGAAGATATTGCAACGTAAAATATGTGATCTAATGTATACAAAATAAGTACCATTCAAAAGACAAACATGTCATAATACAAGAAGGTAGCACATTTGTGCAATATGCACGTACTATTCTGAAATTACAATGAAATTGCCAATACCAATCCTTTTTTCCCCATAGTCGGCATAAACCATGTTCACCTTTATACAAATGGCAAGAGAAAATATTTTGAACGTAGAAAAATATATTGTAATAGCCTTACCTATATGCAAGACCTACAGGTAGCACATTTGTGCAATATGCACGTACTATTCTGAAATTACAATGAAATTGCCAATACCAATCCTTTTTTCCCCATAGTCGGCATAAACCATGTTCACCTTTATACAAATGGCAAGAGAAAATATTTTGAACGTAG